GTCTCGTCGCTTGATAAACTTATAATTGAGCCGCTGTAGGCACATGGAATATTTAAACCTTTTCTTTAATGACTTTATGGGCCGTCAAGAGCCAGTCCCTTAGGCATTCTATGTAGGACTGATCCAGCTCTCAGATTCAATCAAAAATATCTTCATTTGTGTTCCGAAGATGAACGAAGGTCTTACGGGGTTGGAACAGCATGGGGGTGAGTAATTAATGACTTAATTTTCATTTTTGGGTGAACTAACCCTTTAATACCTGACAATGGACACCTCAAAGCATATCAACCCTTACATAATGAACTCTACTTTAATAGAATCTTTTTATTAGTAAAACACCAAAACCATTCGAATGTTTTTCTGGGACTTTCGTGCAAAGATTCACTGTATAGTTTGGTACAGGGATTGCCCCTTTGGAGGAGGGACCTTGTGGTCCTGAGTTTTAACCATGTCACATCACCCCCTTTCATACACCTCTTAAACCTTAGAAGGAATTATTAATATTCAAGCCTTCATATCTGTCACACCATTTCTCATGAGTGTCGAGAACGTCCGGGCGTCTCAGCCGATTTACATCTGAGCGTTTCCGCTAAGCATGGCAAACTGTGTGTCCTGTGTGATTCAACACAATGTGAGAGTTTGACACCAGCTTGTGATTCAAAGGCCTTGCAAAGATTCATCTCTTCAAAGGCACAGTCGGCAAAGTGTTTTCCCTCAGCTGGAGTCTCAGTGTGTTCGTGAAAATAATCAACTTTAGCCATCATATTTACCCAGTCTGATCCATTTCCACTCTACGTGTCTGTACTGTTCAATTTCAGATCTAATATAAACAGCTGTCTGCTCCAAGAAGCTTGTCTGAGCTCATGGGTTCAGGAAATGAATGACTCCTTTGGCCAACCCCATTTGGTGTCTTATTGAGTAAAAGCATCTGATCCTCTACTTTTAGTTTGATCAAATGTCGGGCCAAAATATATGCAAAGTAGACTGCATAAGATGTTTCTCGATGATTCTTGATAAGATAAGTCAGGCATGTTGTGGGTCAAGGTAACGTTTCCAGACTGATGCTGCAGGCTTCTAGAAATGTAGGATTTGCTTCTTGTCCAAGACTTCCAAAAGCTTGTGAGCTGACCATGTAGGCAGATTTTTAAGGCTTTGTTGGCACTCCGGACATAAATTCTGTTCCCAAAGATCAGCAGCATGATTGCCCTGCCTTTTAAGACGCCTTATTTTGGGAAATCAAATTTCTAAGCAGCATTTCATATATTCTTTGCAAAGAAGGCAATCCCAACTGAAATCAGTTGTAATTTGAGTCTCTTAAAGTGTCCCGAAAGGGTCCTTCACGAGGTTCACTTTCCAGAGCAATGTTGCCTGGAGTACACTACATGACTTTACTGAACAGATTTTAAAACACTATGCATCATACACTTGCCGACTTTATGAATACTTACAAAGAATAACTGGGCATCATACACCAAGGCTGCGTTCACACTGCAGGGGCTTAAAGTTGGCGTGAAACGGAAGTTGAAATTGACATTTTTTCCTTGTCGTTGACGTATATCCGAGTGAAATGGCTTCTGAAATAAGAAGAAAATGTAGGGCAGGGCTTGATTTCGTCCTTCGGGAATTGATTGGATCGTTGGAGGTTGGGCGTTGCAAACAATTTGAATGCGATTCTCTGAGAGGCGATGCACCCTCATCGGATCGGGCCGCACCCTTTTGCCATTACACGTGACCAAAAGAGAGAGAGAGGTCGTTTTGATGGGGGAGGGAAGGGTAATGTATTTGATTAAAGATTTTAAGTGCACCGATAAATCATTTAAAATTAAATCTACAATATTACATATAAAAAGAAGATTTGTCAAATTTGATTTTATGCCCAACTTTAAAGGAGCTGTATGCAAGAAATGTATTTCAATTAATCATAAATTTTCCCTGATATGTCACTAGACATTAGAGCCCGACCGATAAAGGATTTTGAAGGCTGATGCCGATACAAATATTTGTTGATTTTAAAATCCGATATTCCGATATATCGGCCGATATTATTTATTTATTTTTTATTTCAGAAACGCGCAACAAAATATTAACAGATTTCCCTAACATTAGTTATTTGTAGTTAATTATGAGTTTTAACTAAATTAATATGATAATGCATAACTGGTTCTCTCTGCCCGACTCTGGCTGGATCCGCAGGTTGCAGGATGTGTGGCTCGTTATACACGAGTGTTGCCAACAGGGATGGTGTAGAGTGCCCTCTGGTGGACAAACTATACAACTCCAACACTCATGACATGGTTGAAGCGTGATTGGTCTGATTTTATTTTATTTTTGAAATATTCATTTATCGGCCATTATAACTGCCGATACCGATATTTTAGAAAATGCTTAATATCGGCCGATAATTTCGGCCTGCCGATATATCGGTCTGGCTCTACTAGACATTAAGAAATCATGTTCATTTCAAATACTTATATCACTGACTTGTTGATGTTTTTATGTTGTGTTTTGTTCTGATGCATCACCCTCCACCAATCTACCAATCACGGAGTCAGTAGTGTTGCTGCATTTGGGTTGCCAGCTCTTCTCTAGTTACCACAGCTGCAGATACAACGTGTTGGAATCGGATAAAAAAAATGTCTAACTTTGCGAAACCAAAAAAAAAAAAAAAACTCGATATGAATCCGAAAAACTTTGTGACAAAGTCCGAAAACTCACTGTGTGGGACTCGTCACTTGCCATTGGAAGCTTCTTGTAGCAGCCTACGTTCCTGCTGGATTCTGCAGCATACCTGGCAACCTCGAGTCAAGGGGGGAAGGGGGGGGATACACTCTAATTTGAAAGTGATTGCAGTACCAGTTTTGGCCACAATCTTGCATACAGCTCCTTTAATGCTCAATTCCGATTTTTTGAAAATAAGGCCGTTCACATTTCCAAATAAATGCGGCCTTTTGTGATCTCCTATGTGAACGTGAACGTGACCCCAATGCGCAGAAGAGTACTCAACGGTCAACAACGTCCCTTGTTATTTGCGGAAGTAGCTAAACATGGATGTCAACAGTGGAGCTCGTTTAGCAATATTAAAGTTATTTTCCCAACAGGACCAGAACAATTACAATCTTCTCACTCCTGCCTTCTTCAACGCAGAATTATGACGTTTGTCGCGTATCAATGACGTGAGGGTCGGATACATGCGACCTGGCCGTTCAGATTGAAGTCGTATTTCAAAAGATCGGATGCATATCGGATTTGGACCACAAACCAAGTGGCCTGGGTCGCATTTGAGAAGATCGGATCTGAGTCGTTCAGACTGTCATGAAAAGATCAGGTCGCGTGGGGCAAAAAAATTGGAATTGGGTCGTTTCAGCCTGCAGTCTTCAGAGGATCACACACTACCAGACTTTTCACTACCAGACAACAGGTCATTGTTTTAATAACTTGACATTTAAAGATATTAAAGGGTTAGTTCACCCAAAAATGAAAATTAAGTCATTAATTACTCACCCCCATGCTGTACCAACCCCGTAAGACCTTCGTTCGTCTTCGGAACACAAATGAAGATATTTTTGATTAAATTTGAGAGCTGTATAACTACCACATTGGCTCCTAAGGGACTGCCTCTTGACGGCCCAGAAAGTCAATGAAGAAAATGTTTAAATATCCCAAGTGACTACCGTGGCTCAACTATATGTTTATCAAGCGACGCGAATACTTTTTGTGCGAAAAAACAAACAAAAATAACGAGTTTATTCGACTATTTCTTTTCTTCCTTGTAGGCCAGAACGAGACTTCCTTAGATTTCCACGACGCATGCGCGAGATTTGCGATCTGAAGTAGTGTAAGCTGGTGTGAGCAGATCGCAAATCTCGCGCATGCGTCGTGGAAATCTAAGGAATTCTCGTTCTGGCCTACAAGGAAGAAAAGAAATAGTCGAATAAACTCGTTATTTTTGTTTGTTTTTTCGCACAAAAAGTATTCGCGTCGCTTGATAAACATATAGTTGAGCCACGGTAGTCACTTGGGATATTTAAACATTTTCTTCATTGACTTTCTGGGCCGTCAAGAGGCAGTCCCTTAGGAGCCAATGTGGTAGTTATACAGCTCTCAAATTTAATCAAAAATATCTTCATTTGTGTTCCGAAGACGAACGAAGGTCTTACGGGGTTGGTACAGCATGGGGGTGAGTAATTAATGACTTAATTTTCATTTTTGGGTGAACTAACCCTTTAAGGGCGATATGTAGGCTATTCAGCCACCGGTGCGTCGTTTATTCCAAAAGCACTACAGTAATGTTTTACTTGCCAAATCAAACTCGGCTCATTCTTTAAGAGGCCACTTGTGCCTCAAGTGACAGCTTCCCCTTCTAAAAGTGATATGTGTGCAGTAATGGTGAGGACTTCACAAAGACCAGATTCTGGAAGGAGATTTACGTCTGAAGTGTTTGAGGAGGGGTGGTTGAAGACAGCTCCTGTTAGAGGTCTTGCTTTGGTTTCGGCATGTCCTAGCGAAATACATCCGCCCCAGACAAGTAGCATTTCAATTTGTCACGCATTTCAGTAAACATCAGATCATACGAGGGCGTCTGTGCCCAGAGGACACAGTTTTTTATTGCCTGAGCTTGTGCTGAATTGAATATATCTCCCCCTTGTTGCCCTGATTCTTTTTTTGGTTGTCTCGTGAAAGCTTGTAAATTTCAGACTTTGGTCTCTAATTGTGCCACAGCTTGAGCAATACGAAGCACTTTTACTAGACATTGGTTTGTTGGCAATCTCACATGTACTGGAGTTTTTTAATTTTCCATTCTCTTTATGACCACTCATGGCCTCGAGTGTGGAATGATGAGGCTTTGGGATCAAATTAAGCTGATTAAAGTCATTGAGTGGATTCTTAATTATTTGGCGGTAGCCTTCATCTTTCCTAAAAGTACTGTTTCTTAGTCGTCAATGTTTTTTGTGTGCTTTGGACAACTCTCACTCCATCTCTTTTTTTTCTCCTCCACTCAGGTTTTCAGCATTGCATCATGCTGCTCTCACAGGCACTACGGAGTTGCTCTCCTTGCTGTTGGAGGCTCAGGCCGTGGTGGACATCAAGGATAGCAACGGTTAGAACGGTCTCCTCATTAACACCAAGAATGATGACTACAAAATAACGATAACTATAGAGCATAGGTCTTCAACTCTGCTCCTGGAGGCTTACTCCAACCCTAATCAAACACACCTGAACCAGCTAGTCAAGCTCTTCAGGATCGCTTGAAAATCACAGACTGAAGCAGGTTGATATAAACTCTGCTGGGCAGTGGGCCTCTAGGAGTAGGGTTGAAGACCTATGCATGTGCCATCACCGTCGGACAGAGAGACTGCGGTTACGCCCACTGAGCGGCAATATTGGTTTTCAGCGTGAATGCCGCGACAAACGCACAAAATCTAATGCTGTGCTCACACCGGATGCGAATAGCGCGTCAAATTCGCGCCTGACGCGTCTAGTTTGACGCTTGACCACTTTGTGTTAATTCGCATGTCAAGAGTGAAACTGTCGCGCGTAAAAACAAAATTTACCGTTGGCGGCCATTTTTTTTATGTCGACCGAGCATTCATCGAGAGAGTCACCGCTCTATATTTACTACATTGTGGGGATCTTCGTCGCCGTATATTTGTGTCCACCGGACCCTTCGGAGCCGAACCGTTTGGCGAGTTTCACCATTTGCTCGCTCCAGGAGCTGCGTCTGGATGACGGCCGCTGTCAGCGGTACTTCCGCCTGTCCCGCGCCCAGTTTGATGACCTGTTGTCCCGCATCGGAGTGAGGATCACCCTCGCCCTCATCCACCTAATCTAGCTGTCATATATTTTTGTTTTGATGATAAATAGAGCCAGCCTTCAAAAGTTATTAACCTGTAACATGTATGTTGGTTGACTTTACATCATAATACTATTTCATATAATCTATATATGGAATGAATAACATTCAATACAAAATGAACAGTTTTAAGTGATAAAATATTTGCTTTGTTGTGCATAATCCCACCATGCATTTAGTCATATTACAAAATAATTTATTGAAGCATCCAGATCCTTCACCACGTGAGCAAGCAGCTAGGCTCCTGATTGGTTAACGCGGCGTGAATTCACGCCAAAGTTCAGATTTTTCGACTCGGGCGGCAGACGCGAATTCGCGTCAAATGCGTGAATGCACAAATAGCACTAACCAAATCATTTGCGCGTAACGCGCCAGACGCTCAATTCGTCAGCAGCGTTATACCCTTGTCGCTTGTTAGGAAAGTTATTTTTTCGTGGAAGTTTTGCATCTGGTCCAACTACACTTTAAAAAAATATTTTGAGTTTCTGATGATTAAGTCAATCTCCGTTGTATTAACTCAATTTTTTACATTGCAATGAACTTAAAATTTTAAGGCAACCAGGTTACTTCATTTTTTAAGTTAAACCAACAATATTTTTTTTACAGTGTCCAACCTTTAGTTTAAACTGATAATCGTTTGTTTTACTCACATTTTCAGTTTCCCCCCATTAAATCCAGTCATGTTGCATACCATCTTTAGCATCCACACCAACGAACAATATTGTTTTGCAGATTTGTTGTCTGTCACTTTAAATGCTCACGCTCAGGATGGATTCTGATTGGCTGTCAATGTTTTGGAAAAAAAACACTGGGAATGTGATTCCAATGACATTGCTTCAGTGTGTTGTAACTTGTTATCATTTAGATGTTATCATTTAACATTTAGAACCATTTTTAAACCGTGGGCCCTATTTTAACGATCTAAAACGCAAGTATCAAGTGCGAAATTAACTTTGTGGGCGGGTCTTGCGCGCTGTTGCTTTTTAACCGGTGGGATAAATGACTCTCGTGCTAGACGCAAGTTTAAAAGGGGTTGGTCTGAAGTAGCTTCATTATTCATGGGTGTGGTTTGGGCGTAACGGAAACAAACCAATCAGAGCGTCATATCACATTCCCTGTAAGAGCATGATGAACGAGGTGCGCTTGTTCCATGGCGCAATACTATTTTAATGGCACGCTTCACAATCGTTTCACAGCCGAGGAGATCGATGTTCTTGTCAGGGCCGGAAAAAAAAAGAGAAGGGACATTGGGGACGGGACAAACCCACTCAAATTAGCTTCGGTTAAACATGCATATAATAACTTGGGTAAATGTGTGAGCTTTACACCTATTTCTCCCATCGTCATGGACACAACAATGATTCCCCTCGTGTTTTAACAGTTTTCCTTATAATGATGTATCATTTGCAAAAAGTAAAATGCATCTGTGTAGATGAGAGAATCATCTACTATGTTTGCACGTTGTTCACACTCTGTATTATGGCCAAGCATGCGCACTTAAAACAGCATCTGAATGTACGCGCAACGCGCCACTGACTTTAGACCAGTTTTTTTCTGGTCATTGGCGCAATTGTTTTCTGGAACTGCCAAAATAGCACCAGGGATTGTTTGCGCCGACACACGCCTCCTTTTTGCGCCGACCCGCCCAGGGAGCGCAAGTTCATTTCCTAGTTTACCGACGTCCGTCTGTGGAGGGAAAAGCCCACTTCGCGCGGGTGCAAAAGGGTACAAAGTCATTTCTGCTGGGTGCAAGATAGGGCTTTATCGGTATCATATTGGTCATCATCTTTGGTGTGAACGAGCCTCAACACATGAATTGAAACACAAAATGTAAGAATTGCTCACAGAACTCTGAGTTAGAGGTTGATTTGTTGTATGTTTTGTTCTGCAGGGATGCGGCCGCTGCATTACGCAGCATGGCAGGGGAAAGCTGACTCGGTGCTCATGCTCCTGAGATCAGGGGCCGCGGTTAACAGCGCGTCTCACGACGGGCAGATCCCACTGCATCTGGCCGCTCAGTACGGACACTATGAGGTGGTGCGTATCCGCTAGCCCGGTCTCAGAGGCTTCAAAACAGTTGCTGGTCTCAGACACTTCACAAACACAAACAACAGAACAGTTTATCCCTTCTGGAACGAAAAAACATTTCCCATATATGAATGATCAATATCGTATATCGTATTGTTGTAATTTGGTTTCGGTTACACAAGCTGAGGAATTTTGATAATTACAATTTCATAGTTGAATTAATTAGCCTTAATGAATTCACTCCCTTCTTCCCCTAATAGGTTACATTTAGAATTAATCTACAGCATTACTGTAGTGAAATCATGGTAAGTTTATGTAAGGGTGGTTTAAACCAAGAAATGTTATGGAACCTGCAACATATGAAGACACTTTTAGGGGGTTAGTTTTATAATCAGCATTTCAGTGTATCTTACAAAGCATAATTAACTGAATGATCAATCATAATGTATGACATTTTTGTATTCAGTTATACAGTTCATAATTGATCTATATGTGATCAGATATGGTACTGCATGTGTAATATATTGCAGATATGTTTACTCAAGCAAAATAAACACACACATATATATATAGCGAAATATATAATGTCTAATTTTTAATTATTTACATTATAAATGTCTCTTACTTTTTAAGCTAGTTAACACTTAATTTTAACATTTGCTTTCCTTCAACAGTCGGACTAGAAATCTGTTGAATCACGTTATGTGAATGTGTGATTCACATTTTAACATTTTTATGGGAACATGTATGTGTAATATACGTACAATAAAGGATAAACATTGTGAATATTACATGTAATGTTATTTTTGATATTTGATATGTATTAATATATAGCCATACATTGGTCAATGCATATATTGCTGTATATTCAGAAATATAAGCACTAGTTTCCCATATGTGGAACTGTATCGCATTATATTTTGCAGTATATTCCCATATATGTTTGTTCCGTAAGTGGTCACTCTAGCGTCAATGGGCCGGCCTGACATTGTTCAATGTTTTTTCTATTAAAAAATCTTTCCCTAATTACTTTGTTTAAAAATGTGCTTCTATAAGCCAGCCCAGTCGGCCCTACAGAGAAAACTGTCTAGTCCATCCCTGTTTGAGAAGCAGTGTTGTTGGAGACCGCACCTGCAGATCATCTGACCTCAGCTCACTGAAATGCAAAGAAATATGATATCTGCGCTGCGACATCAACAAGTCACCCCAGATTGTTTTGTTTTTCTTTTTGTGTGTATGTACAGTATTATTGAGGGATAAAGATAATCTGCCTGTTTTTATGATTATGATTATTTTTCTGTCTCTCGTAACAAGCTAAACATAATTCATCTATTCTTTCTGTTTATCAGTCTGAGATGTTGTTGCAGCACCAGTCGAACCCGTGCGTGCTAAACAAGCCTAAGAAGACCCCTCTGGATCTGGCCTGCGAGTTTGGCCGGGTGAAGGTCAGTCATCTCATCTCTTGTTTATGAGCATTCTTCATGTGGTATGTCACAACAACATCACTGTTGCTATGACTACTGTGATCTCATAAATCCTGTGATCTGATGTGCGGTTGATAACATGTCCAGTAGAGCAAATTGAGATTTGTTTTGTTTCAAATATATGGACAATTCTCCCTTAATTCTACATAGACAACTAAACATAATAACCATGTGTTTTACTAGAGGCTCTGATAGTAATAAATAATTAATAAACTTTAAGTACCGAAAGAATTTAGAGTAGGGATGAGCGATATATTAGCGTTTGCGATATACCGGTAAAAATTTTCCTCACGATAAGAATTAGGCCATTTGTCCACCACAGCGTATTTAGCCAGCTTAAGACGCCGTGCTTTGGGCGCTTGAAAGCGTTTTGGCATTTTCCGTTGAGACGTTTTGTTGCTATGAACAGTAACCCCACAGTTCTCGCCATCTCCGGAACCAATCCAATGTTGATTCTTGTTTTATTACGAGCTCTGTCTCGATCTCGGTTTGCCAGCAGACGCTCCTCTGTTCGGCGTTTGTTAAACTACTGTCAGGATTTACTAAACACACCCAGTGAAAAATGAGCACTGAAAAGATGTGGACAGGGTCATGTTTGACCTCTGACCTTATTTGAGGTCGACCGATATGTTTTTTTTCACGACGATGCCGATACTGATCTTTTGAAATCCGGGTCGGCCGATGGCCGATTAATGCTGCCGATTTATTTTGGCCGTTGCTTGGTTTTTAACCACTATTTGAAAGATAAAATGTAAAAGATTTGCTAATTACTTAACATAGACAAAGTTTTTTAAACAAAAACATTTTATCCTCTCAAAAATAGGGTTGGGTATCGAGAATTGAGTATCGATTGGAACCAAGACTAACTTTTCGTTTTTCCCGGAATCGTTCAAAAGTTAAAATTTGATTCCTAGTTTCGATATTCACAGTCCGCCGAGCGGAAGAAGAAACCGCTGAACAACACCAACGAAGAAGCGTCTACCGGAAGTGTCGGCATAACCGTGCGAGTCGAACATGAGTAGCTTACGTCGGCGATCCAAAGTGTGGCTTCACTTTTCTAAAAATAACGAAATCTCGGCAAAATGCAAAATTTGTGACAAAAGGAGTATTTTTACAGAAGGAGTATTTCCTTCAGAAAGGCCGTTGGTTAGCAAGGTTAGCTAAACTTTTTGACCCTGCCTCTTAAAAGAATCGGAATCGAGAATCGTTAGGAACCGGAATCGAAACAAGGAATCGGAATCGGAATCGGAATCGTTCAAATTCAAACAATACCCAACCCTACTCAAAAAATGTCCTGAAACATGTATTTTTGGTTTGTTTTGTTTGTTGGCGGACAAAGACAAATGGACATAACCTAATTATCACAAAAAAGGAGAAAAAAAAACTTTAAATGATTTAATTTTTTATATATAAGATTTATTATATTTTATTTTATTTTATTTAACTTCTAACAATAATGTATTTCACTAGTAAATTGCTGTTTAACGTCAAAAACAACCACCGGATGGGAAAATTATTATATATATATTAGTCTACAGGGAAATACAGTCACACTTTACACTGTTTGGTCAGCATTTTACCCATGTTTAATCCAGCTACTATCTAACGGTCAGTGTTGTGCCTGAACGCGTTCAATGAACGCGTTAATATTTAGGTCTGCTGCTCACTCGGCTGGAAAATGACTCTAGCGGCAACGTGCGTCAAACACGTGTTCCACGACAACACCAGGCTGCCCACAGATGCGCCTGCCTAATAATCGGCTTGATATACTTGGATTTTGGCCGATACCGATTATATTAAAAAATGACAAAAATCGGCCGACCGATTAATCGGTCTACCTCTGACCTTATTGCATATGCATTTGAAGGAGTTTCTCTTTCAGGCGCAAATTGTATGGGAGGAGAGTATTTAAAGGTGATTTAAGGTTTGCGCTCGTCAACGTACTAGTGTTTGCTCCATTATTTACCACCCCAAAACAGCACATCTTAAACCAGACGCTAATAAATCTTGGCAGATTGCGTTGGTCATGATGGAAATGATGCGGCCGATATTAGGCATTTTCCAAACTATCGGTATCGGCAGTTATAATGGCCGATAAATGAATATTTCAAAAATAAAATAAAAACGGACGAAACACGCTTGAACCATGTCATGAGTGTTGGAGTTGTACAGTTTGTCCACCAGAGGGCACTCTACACCGTTCCTGTTGGCAACACTCGTGTATAACGCGCCACACCTGCTGATTATGGTAGCTTATAAGGCAATGTAGGGACTAATTATTATTTTATTTATCAGAACTTTAATATATTTTGATGTTCCTCTGTTCTGTTGTGAAAATAAAAGAAACAAGTTTCTTTTTAAAAATCATTATCATATTATTTTAGTTAAAACTCATAAATAACTACAAATAACTAATGTTAGGGAAATCTGTTAATGTTTTGTTGTGCGTTTCTGGAAAAAGATTTTTAAACAATATCGGCCGATATATCGGATTTTAAAACCAACAAGTATTTGTATCGGTATCGGCCTTCAAAATCCTTTATCGATACACACGTCAAAGTAGCCCGAGCAACTTTTCTCTATTTATGGATATGACTAGACATGGATGGGCGAGTGACGTATACATGCGAAATCTGTCCCGACAGGTTTAAAATATAAACACCAGCAGTTCTATCAAAGACAAAAACATGTTTTGGGTGAGGGATATTGACTATGTGCTGACTCATTATTTACATTCTGTAAATTATTAACAAAAAATGGCACATGCAAAATATAAATTGACATCATACCTGTGTGCACAATCACATTCATCTCCCTCTTCTCTCTCTTTCTGCCCTGACTGTGATTTTGTGTGATTTTTGTGTGTGTCTTTCGTTCTCAGAGCTCAGTTTGACATGTTCTCGCACACACATGCCCAGTGGTGTTTGATTTCAGTTCAGCTGTGTATTCAGGCCTTTTGGAGGTGTTACTTTAAGGCCAGTGTGTGTGTGGTGTTTAATCAGCTGCTGTATTGAGGTATCAGGGTGCGGCTGAAGCAACTGGATCAAGTCTTTCTCAATGCACAGCATCTTCAGCATGACAAACGACTGCTTTCAATGCGTGCTCAATGAAGAAAAATTCCAACTTCATTACAACCTGTCAAAAGTGTAGTGTATTGCCATGAAAACTATCAAATAAATAATTACCAAATAGTTAGTTTTGCTCAAAGAAGCTTTTACTTTTTAAACTGTTTTTTTTTTCCATGCATGCTCCACTTCACTCCACAGTATCCCATAATCCCCAGTGCAAGACAGGTCAGACGCTTGACTGACGCTCAAACTGCAGAAATCAACTGAAACGTCTCCTCTGCTCTATTAGTTTGTGGCCCAGATGTTTTTGGGTGTTAATGGTCACTGGGACACATTAGCATGAGCTCATGTGTGTGTTCTAATAACCACATTTTAATCTTTTCTTAACACCCATTTTACTGGACACTTTCATCCAATATTTTTTCAGTTTTAGTATAAAAAATTAGGTACTAGGTACTACATACGAATTAGAATTTACTTTGCAACCGTTAAAAAAAATGTTCTTGAGGTATGAATGTGTGTAGTATGAATAAATTCGACGTACTACAGCCACCATGTTTCGTCCAATAATTTTTCTCTTTTTGAGTACTGTTGCGTTAATTCAGACATACTGCTCTTTTGGCATTACATTTTTCACATACTATAGTCCTCGGACACAACGTACATTTATTTATTTATACATTTATTCCGTTTAATGCCACAGTTTATGTAAGAATGGATTTGTTTAAGAATTTAGGAATGAGGGCTATTGAGAATAGTGCAAAATGTGTAAATAAATAAAAGTAGTTTTATCAAATACAATACAATGTTTTATAATATTTATTAATATAATATAATATATATTTTGTAATATTTATAATATATATATATTTTATAATATTTATAATATAATATATATTTTATAATATGTATAAAAATGTTATTTTAGTTGTTATTTATACACTGCTATTGTGTTTATTTAGAATTTTATTTTCGGGTTTCATTTAGTATTTTTTTAGTATTATTTTTTAATATTTATATTTGGTTTTAATTAATTCATTTTTTATTTCAGTTTTAGTAATTTAGAACTACAATTTAATCTACTAATTTCAAGTTGACAAGGCATCGAGTTTTTTTTAAAGGTTTTTCATTGTTTTTTAATTTAATGATTTAATTATCAAAAACATTTTTTTTTTATTAAATTTATTTGTTATTTTGTCTCTCTTGTAGGTGGCTCAGCTGTTGTTGAGCAGTAATATGGTTGCGTCTCTATTAGAGGGGAATCGGAAAGACGCTTCGGACTCGAACTGTAACACTCCTCTACATCTCGCCGCACGCAACGGACACAAAGATGTCATCTGGTGAGCTTTTGAATAACTTGTGTGTGTGTGTGTGTGTGTGGCGCATCTGTAGGCATCAGTATCAGCTGTGTCGGGCTGTCCAGTCTCTGGAGAGCTGCATGTGTGTGTCCACTCTCTTGTGTGTTTAATGCATTGACACAGCATTTCATTCTTGGCTGATTTCAGTGTTAGTACAGAAGCACAGCTGATATATTGTAAAAAATACCCTTATAAAAAAGTCTGATGGGATGAGCCACATTCAAAACTGATATCTAAACCTGTAAACATAAGTTCATTTTTTTGTATTATTGTTTTTCCTGAGTTGATTTGACATTTCTCCAACTGAATGTGGTTGTTCTAAAAACAATAAAACTAAAACGCTTACACAACAATGCGCAAAATCGCTTCTTAGCATGCGTATGTGTGCTTCACAACACGCTTACGTTACAACATGAGTTACATGCTTCGCAACATGTTTACGACATGCTTACATTGCGCTTTACAACAGGTGACAAGCGTCAAGCACAAACTCTAAACTCTCTGAAATGCTTAAATGGCAGTTGGATTATATTAAATGCACAACCATTTCTAGGGTTTACAAAGAACCCTGTGGGTGAAAATGCCTTGTTGATGCTAGAGGTCAGAGGAGAATGGGCCGACTGATTCAAGGTGATAGAAGAGCAACTTTGACTGAAATAACCACTCGTTACAACCGAGGTATGCAGCAAAGCATTTGTGAAGCCACAACACGCCCAACCTTGAGGCGGATGGGCTACAACAGCAGAAGACCCCACCGGGTACCACTCATCTCCGCTACAAATAGGAAAAAGAGGCTACAATTTGCAAGAGCTCACCAAAATTGGACAGTTGAAGACTGGAAAAATGTTGCCTGGTCTGATGAGTCTCGATTTCTGTTGAGACATTCAGATGGTAGAGTCAGAATTTGGCGTAAACAGAATGAGAACATGGATCCATCATGCCTTGTTACCACTGTGCAGGCTGGTGGTGGTGGTGTAATGGTGTGGGGGATGTTTTCTTGGCACACTTTAGGCCCCTTAGTGCCAATTGGGCATCGTTTCCTACCTGAGCATTGTTTCTGACCATGTCCATCCCTTTACGGCCACCATGTCCCCATCCTCTGATGGCTACTTCCAGCAGGATAATGCACCATGTCACAAAGCTCCAATCATTTCAAATTGGTTTCTTGAACATGACAATGAGTTGACTGTACTAAAATGGCCCTCATAGTCACCAGATCTCAACCCAATAGAGCATCTTTGGGATGTGGTGGAACGGGATCTTCGTGCCCTGGATGTGCATCCCACAAATCTCCATCAACTGCAAGATGCTATCCTATCAATATGGGCCAACATTTCTAAAGAATGCTTTCAGCACCTTGTTTAATCAATGCCACGTACAATTAAGGCAGTTCTGAAGGAGAAAGGGGGTCAAACACGCCATTAGTATGGTGTTCCTAATAATCCTTTAAGTGAGTGTATGTGTGTAGATTTCTGTGATTTGAGACCAAACACACACCCACCGTGCCTTCCAGACACTGTACACACACAGCAGAGGATGAGACTGGGGAAGTCAGTGCTCTTCCTTTCTCTCTGATTCACGTTCCCCGCTAGATCGTCCCGAGGGAGAGGAGTGTCCCAGTCTCTCTAAATATGTGTGATCATCACCTCTATGTGGGATCTGTCTGAGATCAGTGTGTGCTTGAGAGTGAGTTCAACAATGCTTTGAGTCATCCTGGAAGACAGACAGCACTTCCTGTCTCACATCAAACTCTTTAAAGGGTTAGTTCACCCAAAAATGAAAATTCTGTCAGTATTTACTCATGTTGTTCCAAACCTCTATGTGTTTATTTGTTCTGCTGAACTCAAAGGAAGATATTTGGAAGAATGTTTTAATCAAACAGATCTCATTCCCCATTGACTACCATAATATGTATTTTTTCCTACTATGGTAGTCAATGGGGAATGAGATCTGTTTGATTAAAACATTCTTCCAAATATCTTCCTTTGAGTTCAGCAGAACAAATAAACACATAGAGGTTTGGAACAACAAGAGGGTGAGTAAATACTGACAGAATTTTCATTTTTTGGGTGAACTAACCCTTTAAGATCGTATCAGAGAGAGTTACAGTTTTGAGAGACGTCTGTGGAGGTGATTCACATGAAACACTAAAATCAAACAAAATAATGATGTATTACATTGAAAAATTACATTATTTTTATGACAATTAATACATATATATATAATTTTTATTATTATTATTTTTTAATCTTAGAAATATGACTTATTATCTCATCATTTTGAAATTTTAAGTTATAACTCTGACTTTTTATGTCGTGAATCATGCTTTAGTTAATCATATTCGTTTCTGGCATGATGGAAAATGTGTCAGGACGGGCTTCCATACATTCTCATTTTGTATTGTAAAAAATATCTTACAAATATTTAAAGTGTAATGTTTGTATTTTATATAATATCATGACATTTATTTATTTTAATTTTAATAAACAACGTAATGAGACCGTAATGAAAATCACCACACAAAAAACACATTGAATTTCACACAGTGACATTTGTCCGGTTTTGTTCTTTAGTTTAGTTTGCATGGTCGTGACTCGTGACGCATCATTTGTGTGTGTGTGTGTGTGTGTGTTTTCTACGGCTGTCACGCTAACAGATCCCCCAATGCCTGGCATTCCCAGTGAAATTCCATCCAGCATTCCCACAGATGAGCGTTTCTGATTCTGCCGTGTGTGTGTGTGTGTGAATTCCACAAGTCTGTGTGTGTTATAGGCCCTTTAGTGTGTAAATATAACACAGAGTGCTAAAGAGCAAGTCGTGTCCTCTCTTTGGAGTAGTAGTAGGATACGGCCTCCAGTCCATTCATCTAGTTTCCATCATCTCTCTGTCTCCAGGCTTCTCCTGAAAGCCGGCATTGACATCAACAGAACCACTAAAGCTGGAACAGCGCTCCACGAGGCGGCCCTCTATGGGAAGACAGAGGTAGTGCGGCTTCTCCTGGACGTAAGTTCATCTTTTTTCCTCAGCATATTTATATTCTTATTAAACTATTCTTAGTAACGCCCCCTCATGTGCTTCTTTTTGAGAATATTGTTTTGAGAGAAAAACCCGAAAGGATGATAAATAAAGTCCTACCATAACTTTTGTTGGTAACACTTTACTTGAAGGGGACTAATATGACAGCTTCATAATCATGACTTGACATATGTCTTGAATATGAAGGAAGTTTTATGTATGTTCGTGACAACTGTCATTAAGTGTCATTTGCTCAGTTATGACATTTTTAATGCAAATACGACATTGTTTGAGATGTCTTTGTTATGATACCTTGACATCATAACAACTTGACATTAGAGCCCGACTGATAAAGGATTTTGAAGGCCGATACTGATACAAATATTTGTCGGTTTTAAAATCCGATATATCGGCCAATATTTAAAAAAAAAAAAAAATCAAAATTACTGTATATTTGTAGTTATTCATGAGTTTTAACTAAAATAATATGATAATGATTTTTAAAAAGAAACTTGTTTCTTTTATTTTCACACCAGAACGGAGGAACATCAAAATATATTAAAGTTCTGATAAATAAAATAATAATTAGTCCCTACATTGCCTTATAAGCTACCGTAATCGGCATGTGTGGCGCGTTATACACGACTGTTGCCAACAGGGGCGGTGTAGAGTGCCCTCTGGTGGACAAACTATACAACTCTAACACTCATGACATGGTTGAAGCGTGATTCGTCCGTTTTTATTTTATTTTTGAAATATTCATTTATCGGCCATTATAACTGCCGATACCGATATTTTAGAAAATGCCTAATATCGGCCGATAATATCGGTCTGGCTCTACTTGACATTACTAAGACAACACAACCTGTCATAAACATGACATAGCAGATTAATTATCAAACTTAAGAATAGGGCTGGGTATCGTTTAAAAAAATTCGATACCAATACCGATACCTTGATTTCGATACCGGTTCCTGAACGATATTTTTTTCGATATCAATTTTATGAAATCCATTTTAACAAGATTACATAACACATTACCTCCTTAGCCAGTGCGTAAAGGAACATATTTTTTTTTATTTTGTGTCGTTTTGCATTTGTTGGAGTACTGATTTAACGAGTTAACCCTTTAGGTATCGAAATCTGGTACCGAACAACAAGTCATTTTTCGATACTCGATAGTATCGAGGCAATTCGGTCGGTACCTAAAAAGTATCGAACTCGGTACCCAGCCCTACTTAAGAAACCACCTAGCTTTATGGGTTAACATTACATTAAACTGTCAGGTGGTTGGTTTTGACATTGGCTGTCATGAAGCCATTTGAACTTTTTCAATTTGTACCACTGTAGTTGAAGAAAATGGATCACGCATTCCACAAAAATATTATGTAATAAATAATAACATTATAAATGTTTCTTATAATGGCAGGCCGGGATTGATGTAAATATCCGCAACACTTACAATCAAACAGCCCTGGATATCGTCAACCAGTTCACGGCGTGCCACGCCAGCAAAGACATCAAGCAGCTCTTACGAGGTGAGATGCAGTCAGACGGCCAGTTGTGTGAACTGAAGTGTGTGTGTTTGTGTCTGCATGTGGAGTGTGTTTGTCTTTGGTTATGGGAGACGTGGTAAGCAGCTGTTTAAACTCAGGATTATATAACCTGCTGATTTCTCCGGAGAGATTTGAGTGCATGAAAGTGACAAAAGACATCTCCTGTGTGTGTGTGTGTGTGTGTGTGTGAAGATGCATACCACAAATCTGTGGAAAACGTGGATTTATGAAACATAAGATGGGGCCCGCACACAACTTGACTTCATACGCAAACACTTTTTTTTGAAACGGTAGTGCTGACGTGGGACAATGATGTTATTTTTGGGACGAATTTAGCCTTCTGTATTTATTCTCTTTATAGATACGCCCTTTTATTTGTAATTCATGAAGTTAAAATGAGTAGTTTTGTAATTTTATCAACTCAATCATTTTTAATTCGCTTATGCTGTATTGTATTGTAGTTCTTTCCCTCACTAAAGTCGTTAAGCACACAAAAATCAAATTTTACTTGCTTTTAATTATTCATTTCGTTCATTCAGACTGACTGAATGAAAACAAGAAGCGGGATTTATCTCATCAACCAATCATATCCAACTATAACCAATCATAGAGCGATGGAGGCAAACTCTCTCCAATATTTACAATTTCAACTGCTAGCTTGTCTATATTACATGCTGAACCTTTAACTATAACATCAAGATTCTCTTCAGACAGTTTCTCCAATCTGACCTGAACGAGAGACCTGACCACAGACTAGTTTATAATAGTGGTCTTTGAGAGTTCATTGCTGGCTTGGGTTGTGTTGTGAATTGTGTACTGATAGATTTCAGATTTGAACTTTATTTCCACATCAACCAAATGAACCAGTCTAATGTCAAACAGACTCGACACACACTAAAAGCTCTAGGTCTTCGTAAACACACTTGTGCCCTTGACATTAAAGTGTCTGACGTGTGATCTTGAATGTGTTCTGTAACATTTCTTTTCATTTATTTATTTCGATTTGTAGCGGTGGATATAAATAAATATTTGAAGTCAATGTTTATATGAGCCAGTCACGGGCCCGTCTGCTTTAACCAGCGCTGCTCCCCAAACCTCAGGGTTAATTATTGATCCAGCCAGCCTGCCGTGTGTCCGTGTGTCAGCACATTCCTTCCGCTGGAAAGAAAAAATCACAGAAATCACACGCTGAGGAGTTCAAATGGCGGGATCTCGCTAAACTATTTTTTTTAGGAACATTACGTTTTCTTTGCATTGAACAGAAAGTCTCATTAATGAAATCTTTAAAAGCATGCAAAAAACATACATAAAAGCACAATATATATATATATATATATATAATGGGAATATGTGCATAAAAATGAAGGAAAAGAAATACAAATAAATGTACCTAAATGTGTAAGTAAAAAAAGTAAACAAAACTATACTGTATACACTTATAAAGTAAGATTAATTTTTTTCTTTGTAAATTTTATAATATTAAACTTTTATCATTTTAAAAATGAAATTGAACATTTGAAAATGAAAAATTGAGAAAAAATGTGCATTTTATGATTATTAAACAGAAATTCTCATTAAGGAAAGCAGGAAAAACTAGCAAAAAACATGAATGAAAGCAATTTATATATATATATATATATATATAAATGAAAAAATATATATATATGAATATGTATCGAAATATATACGAATATATATATATATATACTGTATATATGATATCGAAAAAAATATATCGTTCAGGAACCGGTATCGAAATCAAGGTATCGGTATTGGTATCGAAATTTTTTAAACGATACCCAGCCCTATTTAAAAAAAATTGCATTTAGGTATTATATATATATATATATAATACCTAAATGCAATTTTTTTACATTTTAAAATAAATATTTAATATTTAAATATATCAAATATTTATATCCAATATTTATATCAAATTTAAACATTCCACACACACACACACACACATTCTTATTTATTCAAATTTTCGACTGAGATATATGTCATAGCATTTTATATAGTGATAAAAAAGTTTTTTTTCTTTGTAAATTTTGAAATATTACACTTGTATACTTTTAAAATTGAAAATATATATTTTTATACGATAAATAAAGTTTATTTGAAAATTTAAATTTGGGGAGGAATGTTTTAAATAAAAAAAAGTAATGCAGAAAAATGTACTGGACCTATGTTTTTTAACATTTTTGTAATAATATACATATATGAATGAAATACTGTATGTATATGTGTGTGTATCATTGTTTAATTCTTCCTTTTGGTGTGGATGAGTGTCATTAGACTCGGCGATGTAGTGTAATGTTTGTGGGATCGTACAGTGTCTGAACTATATGAACTTGTGGTGTTTTGTTGTATCAACACAGATTTGTGTGTGTGTGTGTATGTGTGTGTGTGTGTGTGTGTGTGTTCAGAAGCTACAGGAGTTCTTCAGGTCCGAGCTCTGAAAGACTTCTGGAACCTGCACGACCCCACGGCCCTCACCATACGCGCCGGCGACGTCATCACGGTACGGCTGATCACATGACTTCATTAAACATTTGCCGTGTCCGAAATCGCCCCCTACCCTTATATAGGCCACTATCTAAAGGGACAGCCATTTGTAGTGGTGTCCGAAACCATAGTGCACTTATTCAATCCCACAATGCAATAACGAGTCTACAATTGATGTACGCTTAATGGCTAGAGAATACCCACAATGCACTTTGAGAGTCGAGTTGAGTCCATACATTGATAATCATGATTTTTTTTTTCATGATTCTCCCAATTTTCCTAACAGACAACGAAACAAAAAAACATTTAATTTGTCAGAGGTTCTGACAAAATGTTAAAGGAGTAGTTCACTTTAAAAAAAAAAAAACTTTTGCTATAATTTACTCACCCCCATGTCATCCAAGATATCCATGTCTTTTTATTCTTCAGTCGAAAAGAAATTAAGGTTTTTGATGAAAACATTCCAGGATTTTTCTCCATATAATGGACTTCAATGGGGTCCAAACAGTTCAAGGTCCAAATGAGAGCTTCAAAGGGCTTTAAACGATTCAAAGGGCTTTAAACTCTTCGAGTCATGACTCAAAAAAAGATTTGTTCATTTTGATGAACGAGTTCGAACAGGAGAGTCACGAACGCGCATCACAGAACAGAGCAACGCGACCATTTGTGCTTATAAAACGTAAACTTTTTTATTTATTTTTTTATTGACCGATCGTTTCGCTAGATAAGACCCTTATTCATCATCTGGAATCGTTTAAAGCCCTTTGAAGCTGCACTGAAACTCTCATTTGGACCTTGAACCGTTTGGACCCCATTGAAGTCCATTAATCCTGGAATGTTTTCATCAAAAACCTTAATTTCTTTTCGACTGAAGAAAGAAAGACATGGACATCTTGGATGACATGGGGATGACAAAAGTTTTTTTTAAAAGTGATCTACTCCTTTAACAGGCGTATGGTGAATCATTGTCATTCAGGAATAAGATCGCGTGGGTGTTTAAATCGAGATCAGTGTTTGCTTGTCTTAAGTGCTATAGCAAACCCCTGTGTTTCCTGTTAAACTGAACTGAAACTTGAACTTGAACCAGATTTTTCTCTTCCACCGAGTTTTAATGGCTCTGTCTGTTCCATCGCCTTGGTTTTTAAAGCTCGCTAAAGATAAACTCACAAGTGTTTATTTGTGACCTCGAATCAAAGCAGATTTCCACACAGCATTGTTTCACAGGAAAGGGTGGGCAGAACATAAGAAGGGTCGATTACTGGGGTATTTGGTGAGCTGCTGTAATGTTGCAGCTATTGTACGCCTGTAAGTGTTTACTTAGGGTGGGAGGCTGGGGTCATGTTATCGAACTTTCAAAGGCTTTCAGATCCCGCATTGTCTCTGAACTCCCGACCTCTGTTTTGACTGGTTGTCAAGGACGTGAAAAACTGCTGGATTAGGAATGAGGTCAGTCAGTGTGACGTCAGTGTGTTGTGATTGGCAGGTGATCGAACAGCATGTGGACGGACGCTGGAAGGGCCACATTCATGACACCCAGAGAGGAACGGACCGAATCGGCTACTTCCCCCCCTCTATAGTGGAGGTCATCAGCCGACGCTCAGGTGCAAATCATAACCTGAATTCTGATTGGTTGTCCTTCTTCACTCTCACTTTTGGAGCCTCACAGCCTATATTTTTTCATTTTAGGGATTTTATTACTGCCATTAACCCCACAAATAACAGTTTTTGCTTTCCTGAATCAATAACATGCTGACTTCTACAACCTAGGCGTGTCTCTTTCTTCCATCTCTGCTTCTCATGTAATAAATGGCTGCGTCCCAGAGCTGAAAAACACTGCCTCCGCAGGCGGAAATCAATCGTCTCACATCCTGTTTTTTGAAAGACAGCACTAGTGTGTCCTTCGCTGCCTTTGATATTGAGAAAAATATTGAGAAATTAATATTGCAGTAATTAAAGGTGCAGTGTGTAGATTTTAGCAGCATCTAGCGGTTCGGATCCGAATTGCAACCACCCGCCGCTACGGTGCCCAAAACAGGACAAACATGTCATCGTCTGAGCAATTATTCAATTATTCAGTAAAACGAAATGCATTGCACAGTAGCGAAGCAATGCCAACAAATAAGTTGCACTTTTTTATGCAAATTCTGAAAGTAAGCATAAATGGTCACTTGATTGGTACACGGTCCTGTTACATTAAATTACAACCCAATGACATATTTTTCAACATTGATATACAACAAAACCACTTAATATTACATGAATAATATTGGACTAACTTACCTGTCCAGCAAAAAAAAGGCAAGGCAAAACAGGAAAGTTCGCCATTTATTTTTAAAACATTTTTCCTGCATCAGCATCTGACCTTCCGTAACAAGACCAAATGTTAATCCGGGATCTGCCGTCGCCTGACCTGACTTCGTCTGGCCGCATCATGTTTTCTTTTCTTTGCCGACACGATTGATGCTGTGTCAGCTCTGTGCAAAACTATATGTGTGGTTCAAATTTCACTACTATCGTTACTACTGCTACTTATTCTTAGTGTGTATTTAACGTAGTGATGGTGCAAGTATCCTCTAAAAACACCAATAAGGAGAAGAAAAACAACAGAGTGGCGAAACGCCTGCTCTGTGGTGAAGTTTGTCCATTTAGGGCTACTGTAGAAACATGGCGGCGCAAAATGGCGACTTAAAGGAGTAGTTCACTTTTCAAAAAACTTTTGCTATAATTTACTCACCCCCATGTCGTCCAAGATGTCCATGTCTTTCTTTCTTCAGTCGAAAAGAAATTAAGGTTTTTGATGAAATGAAACGAAATGATCGCTTGATAAAAAAAAAAAAAATAACAAAGTTTAAGTTTTATAAGCTCAAATGTTCTCCTTTCTCTGTTCGGTGTGACTCTCCTGTTCGAACTCGTTCATCAAAATGAACAAATCTTTTTCCGCGTCATTTTGTTCGTTGAATGAATCAAATGACTCGGAAAAAGATTTGTTCATTTTGATGAACGAGTTCGAACAGGAGAGTCACAAACATGCATCAAAGAACAGAGCAACATTTGAGCTTATAAAACTTAAACTTTTTTTTTTCTTTTTTTTAATGAGCGATCGTTTCGCTTGACCCTTATTCATTGTCTGGAATCGTTTAACCCTCAGGTGCTCTTCGTTTCGGAGTCACACTTGTTATCTTTCCGGTCAAAAGTGACCGGGCACCTAAAAATTTAATTTCCTCCATCCCAGTAAAACCAATGCAATTTATTTTTGTTCTATAATATTTATTCTTTTTAATTTAGCATTTTGAGACAATTTGATAGAATGTATTAATATTTATGCAATATTTATGGTCTATTTTTGCCATGGAAATATACATATATATATATATATATATATATATATTATTTTTTTCAAAAAAATATTAATGCAGTATTTTAGTTTAATATAGAGTCTAGGCCTTCAGAAAAAAATATTTTTTGAAGAAAATTAGCACCATCTGGTTACAGTATAGAGAAAAAGCGTAGAATCATGGTGTAACCACTAGATGGCGTACAGCTCTCTATGGAGAAGCATGTGAATTTCCCAGATGTTTATGAACACATTTTTTTTTTTTTTTTTGGTGGATTTGAATATATAGTTGAAACAATCTCAAAAATGATTTTTTATGAAAAAAATGTAAAAAATAAATAAATAAAAAATTGTGAATTTTTGTATTTTTGTCAATTCCATTATATGGAGAAAAATCCTGGAATGTTTTCATCAAAAACCTTAATTTCTTTTCGACTGAAGAAAGAAAGGCATGGACATCTTGGATGACATGGGGGCGAGTAAATTATCAGCAAAAGTTTTTTTTTTAAAGTTAACTACTCCTTTAACATGTCGCGGTGTAATGAAAACATTACGGTTCATTTTGTAAGGTCTTCATACACCCCTCAAAACATAGTTATTATAATGCATTTCTGAGAACATACATTTTACACACCGCACCTTTAAATCTTTTCGCTGTTTATTTGTCGATTATTAACCCATTATGCTTGGTCAGTCTGTCCGAAATGAGGTACCGTCATGCGTCAGCTGTCTAAGCGTTGGGACGCAGCCAGTGTTCATCTCTAACCTCCATCCGCTTGCGTTAACCCTTTGCTCCTGTCATATGTGTGTGTGTTGTCCTGTAGGGGGCACCCTGTTACGACACGCCTCTCTGCCCTCCCAGAGGCAGCAGCTGCTCTCCAGGTCCGCCCTCAGTCCCAGCTTGAGTCTGAGCGGGGGCGGGACCCTTCAAACCGACGACTCCTACAGTCCGTACACCCCTAACCCACACCTGGTCCTCCCCCACACCAACGGTCTGAGCACCAACCCAGGTATAGCACTCGCACCCGCCTCTAAGGGTGCCGTCCTGTTTCCACCCCGCATTAAGACACTAGTGGTGAGCTGAGACACACACGGTTTCCACCTGGTATTAATACGCAATTGAAATGCTTCTCCTGGGGCCATTTGTGTTCGTATTTCATTGAGACACTCTCCTCTTATTTTGTCACACTCATATGAATACTATCGACTGAGCGATCATTTGTGGCTGTTTCGACTACATGAGTGGCTAAACTGCAAGAGCACACTGTGAAACAAAGAAGGTTACGTTGTTTTGTTTTGTAAACTTAATATTCACCTTCATATTGAAGCGGTGTAAATATATGTAAATTAGAGCCCGACCGATAAAGGATTTTGAAGGCTGATACCAATACAAATATTTGTTGGTTTTAAAATCCGATATTCCGATATATCGGCCGATATATATATATATTTTTTAAATCCAGATTACTGTAACTTTAGTTATTTGTAGTTATTTATGAGTTTTAACTAAAATAATATGATAATGATTTTTAAAAAGAAACTTGTTTCTTTTATTTTCACAACAGAACAGAGGAACATCAAAATATATTAAAGTTCTGATAAATAAAATAATAATTAGTCCCTACATTGCCTTATAAGCTACCGTAATCAGCAGGTGTGACGCGTTATACACGAGTGTTGCCAACAGGGACGGTGTAGAGTGCCCTCTGGTGGACAAACTATACAACTCCAACACTCATGACATGGTTCAAGCGTGTTTCGTCCGTTTTTATTTTATTTTTGAAATATTAATTATAACTGCCATTATAACTGCCGATACCGATAGTTTGGAAAATGCTTAATATCGGCCTGCCGATAAATCGGTCTGGCTCTAATGTAAATATATATGCATATCACAGCACTATTGACGCTAATGGATCCATGTGTTTTGCCTTAAAGTGACAGCAGCCTAATATACCAGCTGTGTCATTAATGTGATTCTAACTAAAGAGAAAGTGACATCTCGGTTACATTTGTAACCCTCGTTCCCTGAGGAGGGAACGTGTATCGAGAGTGACCGACTGAAAGGGAACTTACTGCTCTTGACTGAATAACTTTTAATTAGCTTTAATAAGAATAAATGTATGTTTAATTCATACAATGCTCAGCTTTAATAAGAATACATGTATATTTAATTCATACAATGTTCATTAATGAATGACAGTTTCACATTGTGTAACACTTGAGTTTAAAGGGATACTCCACTTCTTTTGGAAATAGGCTCATTTTACAACTCCCCCAGAGTTAAACAGTCGAGTTTTACCGTTTTCGAATCCATTCAGTCGATTTTCTGATATTTCGAAGAATATCAGTAACCAGACAGTTTCTGGTCTCATTGACTTCCATAGTAGGAAAAAAATATACTATGGAAGTCAATGAGACCAGAAAGTGTCTGGTTACTGAAATTCTTCGAAATATCCGAAAATCGACTGAATGGATTCGAAAACGGTAAAACTCGACTGTTTAACTCTGGGGGAGTGGTAAAATGAGCCTATTTCCAAAAAAAGTAGAGTATCCTTTTAAAACAAAAGGCTTAAAACAGCACAACTAAAGCAGATAGTGATTGGACGAGCCACATACTAAGCTGTGAAATGGCTGATATACACAAACCCTTGAATGCTACATTTATCATGCAGGCTGCGGTGTTGCCCACACACCTTGTATCTCCCATTGCTCTCGCTTATAAATGGGAGAAAGTCCTGCCCTACTAAAAGCAACACAAAAATATCTACAGCAATAAATATGGTGTATCAAAATGCGTCTAACATTGCACTGCACATGTGACCATGGGCCAAAAAACCAGCCACAAGTCGCACGGATATATTTATGGCAATAGCCAATAATACATTGTGTTAAAATTATCGATTTTTCGTTTATGCCAAAAAATCAGTAGGATATTAAGTAAAGATCATGTTCCATGATGATATTTTGAAATTTCCTACCGTAATCGTAAATATATATAAAAATCACCCTCAGATTGCAGATATATTTAATATTTCTCGGCCAAAAATTGTCCTAACCCAACAAACCATACATCAATGGAAAGCTTATTCAGCTTCCATGTTATGTATACATCTCAATTTAAAACCCTTGTTGTTTTTGGTAAGACCCTTGTGCCTGGTTTTGTTGTCCAGTGTCACATATGTATAGCCAGTAAGTGTTCTGGTTTTGGACCCCGTGGTTCTTCTAGACGACCGATATACTCTATCTTTGCATATAAACACTATACAGTGGCACACACTCATCCGAAGGCCCTGATTTGGGACGCACACCCTACATGACCCTCCCCCACTAGACTGAGGCCAGTGGCCCAAAAAAAGTGTTTGTGTCCGCTAGGTGGGCCTCCCGGCGGTCTGTCCCAGCACATAAGCCCCAGCATGGAGGACGTGTGGGTTTTGCGGAACTCCTGCGCTGGTAAGAACCGCTACACTCCCCTTTTGCTGAAACGCTCCTCCCCTGCGCCCCCTACTGGCTGCCACCCCCTCCCTGATTGGCTGGCCTGTGGGACACCACACAAACCCAGCTGGTGTGTCCAGTTGCCAATTCCCTGTTAGAGTACTCCCGCTCCCGTAGCAGACTGTAGGTTGTGTGCCGTCGTCTGTAAACCCCATCACCACATGCCTGTGGCTTTGCCCTGCTCCCCCACCCCACCCTGCCTGCTGCTTAAGTAGAAATACAGTGGGTATGGTGTCCTCACGGCTGTGGAGTGGCACTGCGGCATGGCAGTGCAGTCGGCCGCTGTGATGCCATGGCGTGTTAAGATTGCAGTTACTCATTGGACTAACTCCTCTCTCTCTCTCTCTCATTCTCTCTCTCGTTTTCCCAGCGGGGGACAGGAACAGTGTGGGCAGCACTGGCAGTGTGGGTAGCACCCGTAGCGCAGGCAGTGGCCAGAGCACAGAAAGCAACAGCGCCCCCAACGGACCACAGCAACACCAAAACGTCACCAACCCTGACACCAGCAAGGTAACCACCCATGATGCTTTGAGAGAAAGACAACCCTAAGGCTGAATCCGAAATCGCTCCCTATATCCTCATATAGGGATTTGTTCTAGGGGACATCCAATTGTAGTGGTGTCTGAAACCATAGTGGACGTTATCGAGTGCACTCGTTTAATTCCACAATTCAACGCATTAACGAGTGTACTTCCAATGTATGGTTAACGACCATCCAAATTCGCTTTTCAAGTGAACTGTATTAGTGGACTAATGTAGGGAATAGGGATTGAGGGTTTAGGGGGCGACTTCGGAATCAGCCTAAGAGTCATGATCTAAGGACTGATCTAAGGACAGTTGCTATTAGAGGTAGTAGTGAGTGATAATTAAATTTGTGAAATGAAATAATGAAATGTGATTGAGCAAATAAAAATGTAACAGCTTCACAGTATCAATCAAAACATAATAACAATGTTCGTTTCTTAGTGGAAAAAACATCCCCGTTTGGTAGAGCTGATCAGGTGTATTACTGATTGGTTAATTAATTTGAATATACCCAACTGAGCAAGCCAAAGGCAACAGTGGCAAGGAACCGAAAATCTCCATGAAGTGACCCAATGGTGTCCTAAAACTCCATCAAGTGACCCAATGGTGTCCTAAAACTCCATCAGGTGACCCAATGGTGTCCTAAAACTCCATCAGGTGACCCAATGGTGTCCTTAAACTCCATCAGGTGACCCAATGGTGTCCTAAAACTCCATCAGGTGACCTAATGGTGTCCTAAAACTCCATCAGGTGACCCAATGGTGTCCTAAAACTCCATTAAGTGACCCAATGGTGTCCTAAAACTCCATCAGGTGACCCAATGGTGTCCTAAAACTCCATCAGGTGACCCAATGGTGTCCTAAAACTCCATCAGGTGACCTAATGGTGTGCTAAAACTCCATCAGGTGACCCAAAGGTGTCCTAAAACTCCATCAGGTGACCCAATGGTGTCCTAAAACTCCATCAGGTGACCCAATAGTGTCCTAAAACTCCATCAGGTGACCCAATGGTGTCCTAAAGCTCCATCAAGTGACCCAATAGTGTCCTAAAACTCCATCAGGTGACCCAATGTTGTGTCCTAAAACTCCATCAGGTGACCCAATGGTGTCCTAAAACTCCATCAGGTGACCCAATGGTGTCCTAAAACTCCATCAGGTGACCCATGGTGACCTAAAACTCAATCAGGTGACCCAATGGTATCCTAAAACTCCATCAGGTGACCCAATGGTGTCCTAAAACTCCATCAGGTGGCCCAATAGTGTCCTAAAACTCCATCAGGTGACCCAATGGTGTCCTAAAGCTCCATCAAGTGACCCAATAGTGTCCTAAAACTCCATCAGGTGACCCAATGGTGTCCTAAAACTCCATCAAGTGACCCAGTGGTGTCCTAAAACTCCATCAGGTGACCCAATGGTGTCCTAAAACGCCATCAGGTGACCCAATGGTGTCCTAAAACTCCATCAGGTGACCCAATGGTGTCCTAAAACTCCATCAGGTGACCCAATGGTGTCCTAAAACTCCTTCAAGTGATCCAATGATGTCCCAAAACTCCATCAAGTGACCCAATAGTGTCCTAAAACTCCATCAGGTGACCCAATGGTGTCCTAAAACTCCATTAAGTGACCCAATAGTGTCCTAAAACTCCATCAGGTGACCCAATGATGTCCTAAAACTCCATCAAGTGACCCAATAGTGTCCTAAAACTCCATTAAGTGACCCAATAGTGTCCTAAAACTCCTTCAAGTGATCCAATGATGTCCCAAAACTCCATCAAGTGACCCAATGGTGTCCTTAAACTCCTTCAAGTGACCCAATGATGTCCTAAAACTCCATCAGGTGACCCAATGGTGTCCTAAAACTCCATTAAGTGACCTAATGGGAAAAAAACCTTGGGAGAACCCAGGCTCAAAATGTGTCTATTTTAGCAGGTAAAATGTTTTGTTCCAGTACAAAGAATCAGGTTATTTTTTCCTAGTACACATAACTATAATGAAATAAGTCGGCACATCACAGCTCCAAAAATGCAACTGTTTTGTTAAATTCCCACTTTGAAAGGTTTTGGAAGCCTGTGAATGATTCTTCTTCACAGCATAATGAACATGAAAAGTCAACTCTTATATGCTCAATTAAAAATGGCACAAATTAGCCAGTGACCAGCCTTGTACTTTCATACCGGACATCCAAATGGTTGAAAAGTTTGTGGAAATTCATTGGTTAAACATTTTGGGAAATCTAAAAGTAAATATTGCCACCGGCTATGAAAGCACTACAGCTCTGTCATTAGAGTAATTATAATTCCTGTTACAGTATTTTCTGTTAATAAACACTTTTAATTTCAATGCGTGTTGTTTATATGTGTTTGATAGCACATAGGGTTTTATTTATTTATTTTTTTTACATTTTCTCCCATTTTACGCAGGCGGCGCCCTCTGCTGTGGATTTACTACAGCCAGACCAAAACAAACATCCTGACGCATCCACAGGTAATGAGCTGTGTGCATCTGTGTACAGCTTTTGCCTTGTCCTTATACCCACACTTGCGGTCTTTGCACTTGACCACTTGTCTACTTGCATGACGCATTTCCTCAAAAAAAAAAAAAAAATTATTATATTTTCAACACTTCGCATTTTAAAATAATCTTCTACATGTCTGTTCAGTTGTGGCTATGCAACTAACAGAAGGCACACATGTAAAATTGTGGTGCTTCTAATCAAGCGACAAACACTCATCTTTGCACCAATAAAAAACGTGCAAAAGTTTACGTTTTTACTACCAAATTATATCCATCTAATTAATTTAATTTACAGTGGAATGTTTTCCTTGACATCTCGCGATTTCAGGGCACATGAGTTCCCGGAAATAATGCATGATGGTATATCCTTAGCCTTACGGTATTCGAGATGATGTGAGTTTAGTGTGCATTTAGGGCAGTGCACTTTTAAGTCTTGCAAACTTACTTCCTGTTGCATGCACGTACTTTCAAGTGGCTACGACCAGACAAGGCAAGTGACAGTATTTGGACACTTGGCCATATTCACATGGGTCTAAATTAACCAAACCACTCCTTTGTAGCTCAGGTTGGTCAAAAACACATGAGTAGCGTTGGTATAATTCTGCATTACACCATGTCGTAATTACTGTAATTTCAAAATGACAACATTTCATTTGACTGGTAATTATGCATTTCTATGGCAACACTATCAGGTGGTACAGAGGTCACATGATACAAGTAGGAGCTCTCCGAAAATTCCCAACTTAGTAGTTGTAATACGAGTTCTGCAAGTAAGTGCAGAGTAGAGGTCTTGTAATTACTGTAATTACGGCGTGGTATGCACCTTAATTCAATGTAGGCAATCACAGACATTCGCATTCTTACTATTATTACTGTTATTTGGTAATTTTATGTTATTTATGTACTGTTATTTGGTAACTCCAAAAAACATTTAAAAACTTTCCAAGATGCTGTTTGGTAAATCTGTGTGTATATATTATTGTGAGCATGTGTGTTGTTTTTGAAGGAGTTCCTCGCAGACCTGTGCTGCCCACACAGAGGCCAGGAGAGCAGGGTTTCTCTCAACAGTTTGTGCGTCCTCATCAGCTGCTGGAGGGAAAGGTCAGAAAACACCATTGCAGTGCACAACTCAAATTACCAGTGGAGCTACTGCTTGCTCTGCAATTGGCTTTGTACACAGCAGACTTAGCGATGAAAAGTTTCTCCTTTTTAAAAGTCTCTCCTGCCTTCATGTCTTTATCACTGTCAGGACGCAGAGGCTATATATCAGTGGCTGAGTGAGTTTCAGTTGGAGCAGTACACTACAAACTTCCTCAACGCGGGCTATGATGTCCCTACAATCAGCAGAATGACCCAGAG